GGTCAAGATTCACTGATTGATTGATTGATTGTGTGTGTGTGCGTGTGTGTGTGTGTGCGCGCCGGGGGGAGGGGAGGGAGGACCCCTCCCCCACCAATCAATCAATCAATCAATCAATCAATCAAATTTTTTTTTCTTTATATATATATACATATATATATTTTAACATATCAAAAATCGTCCCCCCCCAAATTTTTATTTTTTTTATTTTTTTTTGCACAGGCCGACAGCGGCCGGCGTGCGCAAGCCGCGCGCGCGCTCGGATCTCGAGGGCGCGCGCCCACCTGCGCGCAAACTCGGCCGCGCGCATCTCGGCCGCGCGGCCTAGGCCGCGGACTCGTGCCCTAAGATCCGGGCCGCGGACTCGGATCCTGCGGCCGCGGCCGAGGGTGCCACGTAGCTTCCCGGAATTTGAGTGCACCTGTACACGTGCTACCCCCACCCTGTAAAGATGTTACGACTGGTACTACCGATGTATAAATGACGACACCATGGCGAAAACAGCGCATATACAACAGGTCCTTTCCCTTTGTCGAAATCAAAACCGTCATTCCGCGTCTGGATAACGTAGCTCGCCAACTTCTCACCCCATGCAATCTGCCCTTCGACAATCAATATACAACACAGGATACTCACGAAAGCATTCAAAACCTTGCATCTTAATCTAGCAGTCGTAGTAGAGCGTAACTTACAACAGCAGTTAATTAATCTCCAGAGATCGGACACGTTCGGGGCTGAACTCACGAAGTTGCCGACTCCCCGCTGGCACCCGCTTCACTTTCGCCGTCCTCCGAAACGTCGTGCACAACAGCTTCTTTGCCTTTCCCTGTGCCATCCTCAAATTCTCACGCGATTCTTAACTGAGCTATCTCTTCTTTTGTCACGTCGAGCTTATCATACGTGATTCCCTCCTTCTACAGATGCCCTGTATCTCCTCTTTCCGGAGATTCTTCAAATCCCTCCTTGCCTTCTTTACGAACTTTTCCCTATCACTTCCGTTTCCGGCCGGACTAACAAACTTGTTAGCCCTATCCATTTTCCGTGCCGACCCACCCACTGCCTCGTCCAACTGCGGTTTCAGATTCGTCACCGGTCCCCGCCTTCCTTTCTCAACTTCCAGCATTCTCATCCGCTCTCGCAGTCTATCCATCTCTCGTTGGTCATCAAGCTGCCTCTCTCTCACCTTGGCCAGTTCTTCTTCCACTTCTCTCCTGGCCTTAACCTCTTTCATCCTCATTTCCTGAAGCACATCCACTTCCATACCATGCCTTTTCACCACACTTCGATAATGCTCGTCGACCACCTTCCTTGTGCCCTCCGGAGTCGAAGTGGGTAACACCCTCGGCCGCACTCTTGCTTGCGTAACCGGGGACGCTCCAACAGCCAAACTCCCCCTCTTATTTCCGGGACGCAGCGCTTCACTTTTCCATGCCTCCGCATCTGCTACCGCTTCTTGCCTCAGTCTTTTCTCCTTAGTAATCTCCTCTTCCAGCATGTTAAATCGTGCCTCCGATGCAGTACGCATATCTGAAATCTCTTTTTGCAATACCTTGACAGCTTCTTTGTCGGATAATGATGTTGACGCTTCATTCCCACTCTGACTCTTCTTAAGTCTCTCGATCTCCTCCTTCAACTTACTCACTTCATTATCCTCCTTGTCCTTCTTTCCACCGATAGCACTACTAATCACGTCTAATCTCGCGTTCATCTCTTTGGCGAACACCGAATCCATTTCTTCTCGTTCCTTTTTGTCTTTCTCTCGTCTCTCGTCTTCCTCCCTTATCCTCGTCTTCTTCTCCTCTTCGTCACGAGCGGCCTTCTCCCTTGCTTCATCAGCTTCATGCTTACGATCTTGGCCACGAGATGTGTATAAGAGACAGATCCATTTCTTCTCGTTCCTTTTTGTCTTTCTCTCGTCTCTCGTCTTCCTCCCTTATCCTCGTCTTCTTCTCCTCTTCGTCACGAGCGGCCTTCTCCCTTGCTTCATCAGCTTCATGCTTACGATCTTGGCCACGAGCTCCTCCAGATTCGATACCCGCAGCTGAAGACCTCCACCTCCACCTCCGGAGTACCCACCGTTGTAATAGGAATGCGTGGCCGTGTTGTTGACAAGATTCGGATTGTGTGGAACGATAGCAGTGCTAGTGGACGCGACCGAATTCTCTAACCTCTTATCTGGAAGATGACAAAACCTAGCTATATGACCCATTTGGCCGCAATTGTAGCAACCCGCGTTTCTCGGTTGAGCGTTACCCTGATTACTAGCCATCGTAACTATCAGACTCGAAGCCACCAAACAGTAGTACAATCTCTACTTCGGTTACCTCGTGAGAAAAAGTATGAGAATGTATCTGGCCAGTATGTGAGGACCGTGAGACATGTCTTTTTTTTTTGTTGGCTTTTTGTTCTGAGGTCGTTGTAGCGCCCTGCCAGCCAGGCAGGGCGGATTCCACGCGAGGCAGCTAACTGCCTCGCTTCTTTTTTTTTTTTTTTTTGGAAGATTAACTTGTATTGCAAAAGGACTGCAGGGGCCCGGGAACACACCCCAACAACTCAACCCGGTACAAACATGCTCGGGCCATTACCCAGCTATAGGCTTCTGGAAACCAGGTCCAATGTCCCTTCTCCATGTACCTTCCAAAGCAAAAAAGTTAAAGTCCACTTGACAACGCCTGGAACTCAGGGGGGCGCGCGAAATGTGCGTTAACGTAGCGGTGACAGCGGCGGTGGCGGCGCCCAGTCCCCATTAGCGGCTGTGTAGGTTGCAACGTTGGGGCATGCGGACGCTGAATCCTTTCCAAGTGGCGCCTACCCTGCCAGGCACCATAGCTGTGTGAGAGCTATGGCGACAGTGCCCTGGCGTAGCCTAGCCCTTGAGTGGGTAGGGAGTGCCTTTGCACTCGTACGCCATGGCATCCTGGCAGCTCCTCATCGGACCTCCACACATACCCTACAGGACTTTGACACCAGAGGAGCCGCCTTCCCCTCAAGCCTTCTGCTGGAAAGGGGGGGCTCCTTTCTTACCATCCAAAAGACACGGGCTGTAGTTCACGTTATATCATCTGGATTGCCTCGATCATCAGGGAAGCATGGAACGCGGAGCGGCGTATCTGGACGCAGTGGGAGAGCGTGCGGTTGCGGTGGCAACGCTCCGGCAGGTCCAAGGGCTTCAGCAAGTCTCGTTCGACCCATCCTCGTCGCAAGGCAGTTTGCTGTTCTTCTTCATAGTGTTATGGTTAAGGATGATGAGAGGGTAACCCTAAGGTCTATTCCTCCCTCCCTCCTCCTTCCCGGTTTTCACTCACTTAGATTGTGTCCGTAGTTCGACATGTGGTAGATGTTCCAAACTTTGGCGGGGTTTCCGCTCTCTTCTTGAAGAGCTGCCTACGCAGTAGATTTTCGATACTGTTTCTGTTGTTGGTGCTGATTGGATGTTTTGGCCCTGTGTTCCTGTCTATCATTTGTTCTAGTATTGAATTCCCACGTAGGAATGTGACCCACAGTCCCTCGATACTCTCAAGTGCTGGGGTGTGCTTGCAGTAGTTTAGGGTAATACTCACGGGCTAGGGATGCTATGAGAGACCCGGTGAAGAGCAAACTAGAGTTGTATCCATTGGGTGCGTGGTGGGAAACCCGTCTAGGCAACGAAGGCTCTTCACAACGTTTTGGATAGTGAGGTCGATAGGGTAACCCTAAAAGTTCTCGTCTTCTCCCTGCTCTTAGTTATCGGGATTGTTCCTTCAGTTCGACTTTCTGTTATCACTGGAGTTGGAATGCTGTAAAGCCCTGAAGCCGTAAGGGTGGCGGCGCCATTAGCGGGAGTGGGAGACTCACTAGTGGCGGTGGGAACGTTTCCCTGGGTGCGATGGGTGAAAACTTTTGCCCGCCAGTTCAGTTCAGCCGATCTGTGCTCTCGTTTTAGTATGCTTTGGTATTGAATGCTCACTTATGATTGAATTTTACAGACTCTCGATATTCTTGAAGCGTTGGGATATGTTTGCAGAAGTTTAGGGTGACACTCACTGGGTAGGGATGTTAGGAGAGACCCGGTGAAGAGCAAACTAGAGTTGTATCCATTGGGTGCGTGGTGGGAAACCCGTCTAGGCAACAAAGGTTCTTTACAGCGTTTAGGATAGTGAGGTCGGGAGTGCAACCCTAACGTTTATTTCTTCCTCCCAGCTGTGAGTCTTCGAGATCCCTTTTCTTAATTTCTTAAGTCTTGGAAGTTGGATTGGCTGTCTAATCGTTTACCTTCTTGGAGATAATATTAATATGCCTAATCTAAATTTAGTATGTACCTATGAATTTAGTTGCTTTAGGAAATATCTTTAGGGCGTAACAGTAAAATTGTCATAAATTGCCTTGTGCACTTCGAGATTTGCAGATTACAGTTCGCAGTTCATTGCCAACAGTGTTTCGATCTTAGAAACAGGCCGATGCTTTCCTGTGCAGCAAGAATAGCTTACAGGCTGAAGGAATGGAGAGTTTGCTATGATTATTTCAGCCAACTTTTTCAGTGCTTCAAGGTTTTAAAATTGTTAAAATCTTCGTGAATTGCTTTGTGCATTTCCGAGATTGGCAAAAAAAAAAAAAAGGAGAAAAAGTTAAAGTTGGCCTCAAAGCAGGCAGCTATTCTAACTAATTACCAAAAGACAATCGAGGCTCCCGGCAATTAAACTCCTCTAGAGAAAGAATTCCCTCACACAGTTATAAGTCAAGTATTCCTCTATAAAAAAAAAAAAAAAAAAAAAAACAACAACAACAACAACACAGGTAGCTTGAGTATCAAAGATGCAGTGGGCCTACAGCGGCCCTAAGGCTAACCAAGTAGAAATTCTGAGGAACCCTCTCTCATCCTGCGTAACCAGTCTACCCTTAAGACCCCATGTGTTCCAAAACCACCCTCGATCCGACCCGAGATGTGCCGGCCTTCGCTTTCCTGTACCAGTCCGCCCATATGCATTGCCTGAGTTGAGCTTTAATACGAGTTTTCAGGACTTCGTCAGGGATGCGCTCTTGCCGAAAGACATGGCTATTTCTTTCCTCCCAGATGGTCCGCAGTAACACTGCTCTGAAAACTTGAGCCAAGTAGCAGTCAGCAGCCCCTGTCTTATTAGAGCGAACATGGATTCCATCCAGAATATAGTCGTCAGACCATTGTATATCCGAGAGCTTGAGATCCCCCCAGTGCTTGCGCCACCAGGACCAAATCCGTTTGGAGAAGGGGCAATCCAACCATAAGTGACGAGTAGTTTCCCATGCCCACTTACACCGGAAGCAGCTTAGAGAGACTTCCATACCCCTGCCTGCCAAAAAGACTGCGGAAGGAATCACCAAATGAGATTGAGTCCATAGCAGGCTAGCTAGGCGCTGCGAAGGAAGCTTTTGCAGAAGCTGCCAGAGGGCCACATAGTCTTCTTCCGCATAGTTCTTCAAGGCCTGATTAGCTCTGGCCTTCCTTACTGCATCAAAGGGTTTGCAGTTTGCATATTGTCTGAGAATGACCCCTAGTTCGCTCAACCTCCCCTGCGCAGACGGAACAAGCAGAAACGACCCCCCCCCCCGGCTCGACCAGGGAAAGCCTCTGGCAGCCGGGGGACAGGAGGGGGGAGTAGGGGRGGRACTCCCCCCCCCCCCCCCCCCCCCCCCCCCCCCMMYCYCTTCCTATACATCGACCTTTACAAATAAGCTCTACGATACTTTCTCAAATCTTGGTCAGGTGTGGAAGCCGATAGGGGTCACCGGTGAGCCCTCGGCTCGGATCCCAGAAGCAGAAGCTATGGCACATACAACGCTCGCAGGCCTGCATCTAGCAGGCGGGTCCGGGTCATTCCAGGTTGATTTCGGAAAAGACCTGGATCTGCAGAAGATTCTGTTCCGACCAAAAACACAGTCAATGAAAACTCAATGGAAATAGTGGGGGAAGATGGGGCGGACGCCTTGGCTCTCGCTGTGGTCGACGAACAGCCTAACCCATCCGGGGATACTATAGCTCACAAATCTTCGAAAAAGGCCAGAACGGACGAAGTTCAGGAGAATCAACCGATTGCCAGACGAAACTCCCCTGAAGGCTCGGACTCCGACCGCCCCGAACCACAGGAGATTGAGAGAGATTCCACCTCGAAGGTACATTCACTCTCGCTGGCTATGGTTCCATCTGCCTCTACCCTGAGTAAAGGTGAATCAACTACTAAATATGTCGCGTCTATATTCTGTGTCCCTTCGGCCCAGGGTCCGTTGGCCCTGGTGTTCGAAGATCAGCAAAAAAGGAAGTTCTTACCAGTCTCGAATCCTACAGAGGATCCCTCGGAGAGTTCGGTTACAATGGTGGCGAGGCAACAAGTTCAGAATAAATTTAGGAGTAGGCTGATTCCTGGAATCAAGCTAACCCGCCACTTAATTTCGAACAATGGCAAGAAACTTGCCTTTTCTTATGCCTTCCTGCGCTGAGCAAGGATCAACTAAAAGATCTTGGCACATCCTACCTTCCGATTGCTCAGCTGTCAGACCCTAAGAATCCTATTCTGAAGGACATTCATTTGGTGGAAGGGCTGACGGCCCGTTCCACGGCAGCGTACCTCTCACAGTCATCCAACAAAAGCATCATGCTGACGGCACAGACTCTGAACTCCATTCTACGGGCCAGTTGGTCTTCTCCCCAGCCGAAATCTGAGGAGAAACCCATGAGGCGCCGGAAGTCATCGCTAATGCAGGGGAGGGCTAACTGGATCCAGACCATAGTCGGGCAGTCGAGTGCTAATGCGCAGTAGGCTCTCCTTTGCCACCTGGAATGTCAGGGGCTTAGGAGACACTGCTAACAGAAATAAAT